TCGCTCACCCTTGCTGTGGAACGTGGTCAAAGTTGTACTTTGTACTAGCACAATATGAAACAAACCATTTGAGGAATTAAGCAAGACTAGTAACACTGCAAGTAGTCTATTTTGAAATGATGCATGCTAAAGAAGTAGTGTGGGAAAAGAAAATGAATTAACACTGATCACTATCTAGACCCTCCGGGATGGTGTAGATAACTTTAGTCCTGCCATGAGTGCAGGGGACTGGACTAGATGACCTATTGCGGTCCCTTCCAGTCCTACAATTCTACTTTAGGTGGGCTTTATGATGTTACTGTATGTATTAATTTCCTGAGTTCTACACCAGTGGTTCTCAAATTTTTCTACTGGTGACCCCTTTCACATAGCAAGCCTCTGAGTGCGACCCCCCCCCCAAATTAAAAACACTTTAATATATTTAACACCATTATAAATGCTGGAGGCAAAGCAGGGTTTGGGGTGGAGGCTGACAGTTCGCGACCCCCAGTTTGAGAACCCCTGTTCTACACTGTTTTGTCACATCTCCCAAAGATGTACTATATAAAAGATAAATGATAGCTGAAGTTGTACCAATATGACTGGTTTTGCAACAAGGCAGCTATGTATAAAAGACCAGACCCCTCCCGCATCCTGAGGGATTTGATTTAAAACTGACTGAAATCAATGGAAGTGGCATACACTCAGTAAATCGAGCTCTGAAGAAACTGAAGTGTTACATGTTCGGCGGAGTGACATCACTTCTGAGCTAAATTGTCCATTTCTCTTTGCCACAAAAATACCAAGTGGTTCATGCCCAATTTATTCCTCTAGCTGGGAAAATGAATAGACCGACTTCATTTAGAACAAAATGTACCTCCAAATGCATAATTAAAATCCAAATTCCCTTTTGGAATTCTCTAATCTCAAATGTTCAAAAAAGTAACTGAGCAGGCCCCACAATTTAGCAAAGAAACATGGAAACAGGAAATGGTGATTCTTTTTCCTTATTTTATTGGGTAAATGATTTAAAAGGTAAGAACAATAGTGTTAAAACTACTACAATATCTTTCCACAGCCATATCTCACAGACCCACAGATAACCTTCTATATATTTTTTTTGCTTTTTCCTCATTTTTACCTTTTTAAGCCATACTCATAGTAAAATGCCCATTTCAACAGTTTCTTCACACTAATAGCAATTAAATGTTGGAAGGGAGGATCTAGTTATAATGGAAGGGGGTTCAGGTAATCTGTGATATTATTGTAATCAATAATCAAGTTACTAATAAGGAAGGAAAAAATAGGGGCCCTATAAGCTACTCCAGGTAGCTCAAAGCCCATTACATGTGTCACCATTGCATTCCAGATAACTCATTATGCTGGTGAACAATTCAAAGTAATTTTTTCATAACATATAAAACACTAAAATAACTTAGAAACTAGATCCAAATATTTTGAAAAGAATCAACTTTGATATACAAAAACAGTCATAAGTTGTTACAAAAGTTTCAAACAAAAGTTTGTCTTCTCAGTGCGTTTATGTACCAGCGCAGTTACTGGATCCAGAGCAAAGAAAGAGGTTTTTATTTTTTTCTTTTAACAGTAATAAAAAACAAGGAAAACATATCTTTGTATATAAAGAATCATTGCTGGTTTTAAGAATAAATGTAACCAGAAACCCTTAAATCTGAGAGGCACACTTTGGGTTTCTATATTTATTTTTAACATAAAAGGAAAGTCACCAGTTTATTTAAATGAAGGAGGTACTCAGACTCCTCAAATAAACTTAATTCAATTAACATCACTAGCAAAAATCAGTTAGAAACTGTACAAAAATAAAAAAGTTAACATTTAATCCTGCAGGGCTTTTGTAAGGACTAGAAGGCAGGCTTTAGGAGCAGCATTTGTGCATGGCTGGAGGCTTCTTTGGTTCGATCTAACACACACAAGAGATGTAACCTACTCCAGACAACAGTTTCAAAAAACCGCACATTTGAAGACAAGTAAAGAGGTCAATATACAAATGTCAGGGTGTGCCACATCAATTGCCTTGATTAACTTCATACACCAGGTCAAAACTCACTCCTGTGCCCTCTACCTGCTGTGTCTAGCACTGGGGTAGAGGTGGGAGAAGTCAGTGTGACAGCACAGTCTGGGGCAGAAGGAAGGCCACTTGAAGCATGACTGAGCAACACTTGTGTGAGTTAGAGGGGCTCGCTGTCTAACTCAGCTAATAGCACATGGCTCTGAGGAAGAGACTTCAAAGTGACAATTAAAGCTTTTTAAAATGGAATAAAGCAAACTGATTAGTGTTTCTCTAAAGCTAAAACGTTAACTTAAAAAAACCAGTGAAAGTACCCAACATAAAAATATTTCCACTGAACTATATCTAAAAGGCTATTAGTGTAGTTAAATAAGAATGTTCGTGAAACTGATTTCACACACTATTCTTGATCAGGTTTAGAAAAACAGACCTATTCTGTCCCAGGGCATGTCTGAGTGAAATACATGTATGTTTATTCAAATATACCCGTAAGTATATAAGAAACATAATCAACAGCGTTCTCGGCCCCTTACATATCGAGGAGATAGGTGCCCCTGAAACACAGTAGATAGATTTGATTATTCTAAGCATGAAAAACCAGTGTATTTCTATGTAGCTCATAGAAAACTGATTGATTGACCCATATCTCTGTAACAGTTTTTTAATGAATGACACAAGACACTGGTCCAGAAGGACCTGGGCGTTAATTGATTTTAAAGCACACCTTTACAATTTGTATAACACTCTTTGAACTATTCTTTTTAAGCAACAGCTACTGAAAGATAGACAAAAATTCATTGTGCATTATGCTGTGTACAAAAAGGAGACAAAACTATCCTTTTTTTCCCCCCCAAGCCATGATGGGAAGTATTGCTGACCTTGTCCTTCAAAACCTGCAGGATTGTTTATTTCATCAGTATATCATCATTACACTGGTAAGAAATTCTGTATAACATCTGCATATATTGAGGATTTTAAAAAAATCTGATATGATTTAGAGTCCGCATGACCAGTCACGTGACCTGCTCAAGGTTGATTAGCACCTTTAAATACATATATATTTTTATATATAATAGATTTTTTTTTAAAAAACTTCTAACAATGAGCTCATACAGAAGCATGAGCACGCTGTAACGAGATGATGGGTAAAGATGGGGTGAGTGACTATTTTTTTTTTTTTTTTTTGCAGCAGACAATATTATTCAGCTTGTGCTCTGTTTCCCTATAAGGGCAAGAAAAAAACAACTTTCAATCAAGTAGCCACTTGTTTACAGTTTCCACTTAAAAGCTAGTCCACTTTAAAATGTTCCCCAAGTAGAAACAAGACAATAGTATCATCCAAAATATCCTCTATATAAACATCTATTGATTTTTGCAGTGTCCGCTTGGCGCATCTCTTGGCTACTGAATTTTCAGGCCCTTTTGTTTGCTTATAAATTAAGGCATCACAACTGAAAGTGTTAACATTTGGACATCAAATGCTGTGGATGAAGGAATACCAAACATCTTCTATCTTAAAACTAACCCAGCAAAACTTGCCTCATATTACAGGTGAGCAGTAACAATTTACCCAACTATCTTTTAAAATATAAAAGTTTTAGAATTATCAACTAGCAGTCTGCCATTTGCTATAGCAAAAGTATTAGTGCCATTTTTTCCCTCTTATCTGTTTAGAATATATATTTTGTTTTATACACACACCTCCATTATTTGAAATATATGGGGATTTCTGCTTAATGTATTTTACTCACCTGTATGTAGAGGGTCTTTTTCTATGATGCATGGGGTATATTATCCTCTTGAATATGCAGTAAACTATTACTGGTGCTAGTGATTGTTCTACAGCCACATGAAGCAAGGAGAGAATAGGCCCCAAAATGTTCAGGTCTTGCTACTCTACCACACATACCTTTTATAAATCCCATCTCCATTACTACAGCTGGAACAAAACAAAACATTCTGATCAATACAGTAAATGGATTTCTACCTCTTCTTAGTGCAGTAAAGTTACCAGAACTATTTCACAGTACTTACAACTCTCCAGGACTGTTCCTGTAATAAATGAAGACATCTGAAATCAGGGCATATTTGTCCTGTGCTCTTTCTCCAACACTCACACTGTTTCTTAAAACAGCAGTTAATTGTTATCTGGCTAATCATAACATAATAAAACTTAGGAAACCCACAACTAAAAAGAAAGAATAAGATGGGGAGAGAAGAGAAATTCTTTCACGATTTGCTTGCTCAAAAGAATCCCAGTTTAAAAAATAATTTACACCAGATCAGTAGAGAACTGAGCTGGTTTGCTAAGCTGTCCGGTGCTTCTAATATTCTTCCTATGATTTTTATGTAACTATATTTATGTCCTAGTCAAAAGGCACAAAAATCTAAATCCATTTTCTTCCTAATATAACACTGCCTATTCACCAACCATTATTAAAACAAAAGTGACTCCTATTTTTAGAAAGCCAGAAAGTAGTCTCTTCTCTGCATTACAAACACTGTTTTGGTGTCTGATCCTGAGAGGGGCAGAATACCCTCAATTCCCATATAACAGAATGAGAGTTGAGGGCACTTAGTACCCTGCTGGATTAAGTCTGTAATCAATTAGATCAACTGATCCTGAAATACTTCCTATCATCATTGCCTCTTATGCTAGGTGCAACAGCTTCTCTTCATCTGGAATATCGCCCTTCAAATTCTGTCTGTAAGTACTGAATCTGAAGCTCATGTATTTAGCTACATGAAATAAAGAGCCTTTACTACAGTGGTGGGGAATGTATGCTTAATACCTGAATCTCTGATATGTTTCATTCCGTTACAACTAATAATGCAACAATAACAAATGTCTTACTCAAAAAAAGGATATCCCTAATTGTATCCCTTAAACATTAAAGTCTTCCTTCCATCCACAGTCACAGAAAACCTTGATTGATATAATTCAATGTTAATGTAGTATAAATTTCAAATTTTATAAAAAAAAACCCCGCAGTGACTCAATAAAAAAGAATTATGGGAGTTTGTAATAATGCAGTTTTCTCACCCGTTGCCACGATGAACTTGACCAACCAAGGAGAAGCGTCAACATGGCAACGGAAACTATCATCATAAAATGGTACAGTAATAGAGATAGCTAGACCAGGAAGGGGCGGGGTCTCCTGGGAAGAGGTCTGCAGAGAGGTCCAGTGACTGGTCATGTGGCTCAGTGTCAGGAATAATGGTTGTATGGTGGAAGGGGGTGCCCAATGCCATTTTGGAAGTGATGATGCTGACGATGGGCAAGGTACTCTGTGTAGCTCATGGTCATCTTCTCACTACGGTACCTAAAAATGGGCGAAGAAAAAAGTCTCAAAGGATTTTTAAAGGAAACCATTACAAACACTGAAGTTAGGCTTGGAAGGATTAGATTTCATCGGTAAACATCAACTTCACTATATGCACACAAACCGACAAAAAATATTTCCATTGATTAAAAGCTAAAATGTACAGAGTGGCAATGTAAGAAAAATGCTGCTTGAGAACTTAGTTTGATTTAAGGATATTACTTTATATATTTTGACATGTGATGTTGACAATTTGTGTTAATAAAAAAAGCTTTACTTCTTGAATCTCTATCTACTGTCATTAAATAATTGTCTGCACTACCCACATAATCCCACTACTGTGAAAATTTAAATAGATAAAAATAGAAAAAATGATTACAAATAAACATGGATATTATCCACCAAAATGAAAACAACAAAATAAAAATCCAATTCTGCCAGTACTGACTGAGGTTATGGTACTAGTCATGTGCTTTCCAAAAACAGAGATTCCATCATTTTGCTACTAGGGAGTCAGACTCTAACCTCAGTGTCAGTGATGCAAACCCTGAGTAACTCCATGGATTTCACTGGGGTCACTTGGATTACTTTTTCAATTTCTTTAAAGCACCTAGCCGGGTTACTTTTTACAACTGAATATATAAAAAAGTATAAATGTCTTCAGAAGGTGTTGCCCATTAATGGTAGTTATCCAAGGAGGTGGTAATAAAGCAACAGCAGTTTGTACCAGAGTTACTCCATATCCTTAACCAACTCTCCCCCCGAAGTCGGAGAAGATGCAAGAACCACACGTGGCCCAAAATCCATGTGGCCTCCTTTCACATAACATCTTTAGTTGTAAATGCCCAGTCTGGACCAAATTATGCTTCTATACGGGTGCCAATGCAGAATAACTCCATTGAAGTCAAAACGGAGTTACTCACCTTTTTGTACCAAAGCCTGGTATACACCTAAAAGTTAGGTTGACATAGTCTCTGTCAAGGGTGTGAAAAATTCCCACCCCTCAGTGCTGTAGCTCTGCCAATGTAATCCCTAGACACAGCTAGGTTGACAGAAGAATGCTTCCATTGACCTAGCTACCATTCCTCAGGGATGGCATTCCTGCAGTGATAGATGCCTCCGGCAGTGACAGAAGGGGTTTTTCTATCTTATCGCACTATTGTGACATAGCTATAGCACCCATAGTGTGGGCATGGCCCAAGTATAACAAAGAAGAATCTGGCCCCTGTAGTTTCTTTTGAAACTCTCTTTATAAAAAAAAAAAGTGTACTAACAAAATTGCAAACTGCTGCTGTACTGTAGAATTGGGAATTGTGCATTTATGTTGAGACTATACCTCACGCTCTTGCCACAAACTGATTCGAAAGACCAAAAATAGGGAAGCACAAATGTACTTGACACGATAGTGTTTGTTAATGATGTATTAATTCATCAAATGGCTTCCGGCCTTGGCTGAAAGACGAGTCGTGCGTCTCCTCAGTTTGATGTGAATGAAGCGTGGCACTTACTATGCTGCCCCTTCCACTCTGAAAAAAACCCATCAACTTGGCAACTAATGAAGTTACTTGAATGTGTGTCAAAGCAGGCCAAGGGCAGTCTGTCTGAAACTAGAATCACATCTGCTTGTTTAACCAGATGGAAAAACAAAATGCTACTGCTATCCTTATCCTGCCTCCTAAACCACTTTTTAGACATCCTCTGTGAGAGAGGAGAGAATTAATGTTAATGCCAATACTAGAACTCAGAGGATAGCTGGAACTACTGCCATCACTCTGAAGTGGGGATCATGAGGAATGGACCAGTTTTGGTCTATTTCAAGGGTTCTCAAACTTCATTGCACCATGACCCCCTTCTATCTACAAAATTACTACACAATCCTAAGAGTGGAGAGCCAAAGCTTAGCCCCCCCACTCTGAGTGGGGTGAGGGAAAAGAGGGGGAAAGCCAAATTCCAAGGGCTTCAGCCCCAGGCATGGGCCCTGTAACCTAAGCCCTGCCACCTAGGGCTGAAACCCTTGGTCTTTGTCCCCAGGCAGTGTGGCTTGGGCCTCAGCTTTGGCCCCGGGTCCCAGCAAGGCTAATGCCAGCCCTGGTGACCCCATTAGAACAGGGTGGCGACCCATAGTTTGAGAACTGCTGGTCTATTTAAAACTTTTTTCACCCCTAACATCTTGAGTAGAGAGAGAAGTTATGCCTCCTGCCCGAATTCTCTCAATAGTCTAGGAGGTAAAGGGGGCAGCAGAAGCTGCATGACAACACAATTATTTCAATACAAAAAGCAACTGGAGCTGTGTTTCAAGACATCTTATCTGACAAGAAGTGTTTAATGTTTCACTGTTACCCTATATTCCAGATGTCAGTAGGGGTTGTTTGAATTGTTAAACTAACACAACTAGCAGATGTGGAATACTGAAAGAAAGGAACAGTCCTCTAAATACATATTTTTGACTACTTACTTCACTGATGAGGGCCAATAATTCTTCACTGGTTGGGTGCTGTAGATGTAAAGAAAGACTACGCTCGAGCTGGAGGTGTTATTTACAGCTCAGGTAGTTGTACGTGTGCTAGGTGTGATCAAGCTAGCACACTAAAACAGAAGTGTACCTGCAGCGGCATGGGCAGTGAGATGGGTTAGCCATCTTGAGTACAGTCATTTTCCTGTAAGTCTTATTCTCTGAAAACAGTAGAAGATTAATATTCCTAGGTTCTTGGGACGTGTGGAAACTCATATCAAAGCTCTAATACCTAATTAACTCTAGCAGCAGGAGCCTCTCCTACCATCTCCAATTAGTTCCTTTCTAAGCAAAAGGTAAAAAGTTATAGAATTGAAAAAATAAAGGTTCCATTTTCTATACTTGGAAGCTGAGTTTGGTTCTGCAAAGACTAGCTCCTACCCTTGAGCCTCAGGACTGTATTATTTTCTCTATTTGTATTCTTCACAATGATCAAGTTCACCAGGAGAACTTTGGATCGTGAGTTGTCAGTGAGCCACAAACACTGTATTTTTTCAATGACAATGTCCTCACTCACCCCCAAAACACTTATTTTCACAGATCACAATATCATTCTGCCTTCCTCCTCTCTGAATCTAAAACACAGTAGCCTAACTTGGTGGGCTACAGCACTGAGTATTTATCTTAAAGAGAACCCAACCCTTCAAAAAATCTCAGTCTTTGTTTTTCACCACATTAAGAAGGCAGTTCTATATAGCTAAGTGATTAAGGTATACACTTCAGAAACGTATCTCCTCCACCAGAAGCTGGCGATCACTCAGTCAAAGTTGGTGGCTACCTTTGAATGGACAAATCTCATGCATTCTCTGATAAGATCTGCAAGACCACAGTATTGTTTCCCACTCATATTTTCATCAGACAGATACCCACTATATGGAGATGGCTTTTGGGCCTGCAGTTGGTACCACATCAGTAATTTAGTGCCTTTATCCAAATTTACTGTTTAAATGAAATGATTCTCAGTGATTTCCCCCTGCCCTGGGGGTAATCAGGGAAACTCTCTAGTACAAGTTACGAATTCTGGTTGTTTTGTGGAGTTATTATGAAATGTTACTATGAAAAGTGCTGTGATCATGTGTGTGTGTGTCCTCCACTGCAGACAGAACCTGCGGGGGGTACACACCAGACAAGAGACAATGGGGCATACTTAATGATCATGCTTTAATCACACAAAGTTATGCTAAAGAATGGATGCATCCTAGGGGAAAAGCAACTTTACCCATCCTCTAAGGGTGCAGGGTTGTGGGGGGAAGGAAAGTTACCAACCACAGAACAAACAGCAACAGAGAGAGATAGACAGGAAGCTGGGGGAAGGAAACTTCATGAGGGAAAAGCTACCCTATAGGTAACCACTTGCCCAAAGCAGGAAAACCCTGCCTGCCTGCCTTGGATACAGATGGCCTCTGAGGACTCCCAAGAGACAGGTGATCTAACAAGGCGCATTGTGTTTTGGATGTTAGTTATGGTCTATAGGATCTGTACTCTCTTGTGCTTTATATGATTAAGTAAAAGAGGATTATATGTTAGACTTGTGAAGCATTTAGCACAGACGCTTTGCACAAAAAACGGTGGTTAACCTTCCATAATTGTAGCTCTTCATGTGCTGCACATGTCCATTCCACTCTAGGTCTGCATGCGCCCTCAGCATAGTCGCTGGAAATTTTTCCTTCAGTGGTACCGAAGGGTGTCACATGCCTTAGTATTGGTACAAAGCGTTGAATCGACCCCTCAGTTCCTTCTTTCCAGAAAACTCTGATGTAGAGGGGCAGGACGGCAGGTCATTGAATTGACAAACACAATACATCTCGAAGAACAGAAAGTTAGTAACTGTTTATTTTTTCTTCTCTGTGTGATTGCACATGTGCATTTCACTCTAGGTGACTCCCAAAGAGTTGAACAGGTGGAGGAATCGGAGTTCATGGACACACTGACTGCAGAACAATTTGCCCAAATCTGGCCTGTTGAGTGATGGCGTAATGGGAGGAGAATGTGTGCATTGATGACCAGTTCACTGCTTTACAAATATCCTGAACAGGGATCTGGGCTAGGAAAGGCAAATATGTCATTTGAAAAAATGAATCGGTTATCCACCTGGGGTTGGAAAGCTGATATTGCTGCAAGGTGAACCTTGATAGAGGAGATAGCTAAGCCTTGCTGCTTCAGGTACAATAGATATTCAACTACTTCTTATAAGGATGACTGCATGGGCGAGACTCCACATTGCAACGCCCAGACAGAGAACCGCTTCCACTTTGAAATGTGAGTAGTCCTGATGGAGGACTTTCTACTACCTAATAGGATCTGACAAACTTGCTCTGAGCAAGCCTGCTCTCTAGGATTTAGCCATGAAGCTTCCAGGCTAATAGGTGAAGGAAGCTCAGGTTTGAGTGGAACAGTCGACTGTGGTCTGGGGGTAACGGAAGCAGGATTGGTATGACCACTGAGAGGCTTAGCAGAGTGGAGAACCAATGTTGGTGGGACCATGCTG